TGTTTGGGATAGAGCAGCCGTGGGGCTAATGCCACTTGCCTCCAGCCACTGCTTTGACAGATTTTAAGTCTTCACAAGGATATTCTTCTCTCTGTGTTCCATACAACACATTTCTGTCTCTATATGAACTAGTTCCTTTACATTATAAGACATTTCTTTTGAACTGCTCTGAGATACATACATGTCTCAGTTACAGCAACTCGCAGATGAACTGTCAATAGCATGAAGGTGCAAGATGATGAAAGTCAGTGCTTAACAAAATGTCCAACCATCCAGATTCTCAGCAGGGTTTTGTAGCAGCAGTTCACTTCAACTAGATATTGGTTAAAATTTTTTGTGTCTGATTGAGCTCAGTGTTATTAAATGCGAGGGGAAGTCATCTAATGTCTGTTTAATTGTAGATGCCTTTGGTGAGTAATATTGATGATTAATCAATTGACCAAAGGGGACAAGCTGAGAAGGGGAATAAGGCTGAATCGATGTGCAGGAGAGGATGTGAAATAAGATGGACTCTGAATCAATGGTGTTGCTACTTGCTCAGTTAGGCTGGCGATTGGGATGTGTCCTCTGCATGAGCTCACAAGCAATGCAAAGAGGTTTCTTCACAACAAAGACATTTCACTGCTTTTTATTTATATTGATTTCCCAGTGAAGTGTGTCTTGGCATTAGGGATTCCCACAGAGCTGGGAAGAAAGATCAGCTTCTTCCCTCAGAGGGTCAAGAAACCTTGAGTGATGAATCTTGTCTTCTCAGAAAAAGAGACAGGAAGAGAGGTTTGGCTCTAGGTTGTCTACTAGAAAGGAAGAACTGAAAGTGTGTCATTAAAAAGGAGAAAAATATGAAAGTATCTCCAACTGATGAGCTGTGATTAGGAGGGAGGAATAGGTAAAAGAATCTGAGCAAAAGAAAGACAGATTGATGAGGTCAGTGCTGTTAAAAGGAGTAATATCTGATACGGTGAAATTTATTTCTGTATTTATTTAGGGCTTTTGTAGTTAAGACAGCTGATTTCTGTAGACACCAAGACATCGCAGGCATACAAGCCTCCTCCAGACCCCACGCCCAGCTAAGCAGTAACCTAGCGAGCACAGCTGGAAGAAGTGCTGTCCTCTGCTGGAAGGAATTCACATGGCTCAGCTGTGTCGGAGTCCTTCAATTAATGTTTGAAAGCCCTGTAACTAGTGACCTCTAACTTAGTGCCAAAGCCAGAGGGAAGGGTGTTCCCTTGGGCAGCACTGCAGTTCTGAACTACTGCGTATTAACTCGGAAAGATGTGAAGCAGTATGTAGCTATGAAGTTGTTTCAAGACCTTTCCCTCTTTCTTACTGATGGGGAAACTGGATTAAACACGGAATAAATGGCTAAACTAAGGCTAGTCCAGGCATTCAAGCTCCTAGACACTATCCAAACAGCCAGACACCACCAATCCCTGCAGCACCAGATTGGAAAGAGCCTCAATAATACTGATAAATCACTTAGATATTGTTAGAAATGCAGATGCTGTTAACATTGAACTCTGCCTTGCTGCTTTCTTGTACTTACTGTAAACTTTGGCTGGTTTAAAGGAAAATGTGTGTTATACTACAGGTAAAACAGGCTTGCAAGTAAATACACTTCCCAGAGGCGCTCATGAGAAGGAGCAGGAAGGGCTTGGGACTTCTCCCAGATTCTATTGCCAGGTGATATTCAAACTCTGGATAATCCTGAGGACTCACATGTAACTTAAATCTTGCAGAGTTTGTGTGTTCATGCCCCATTAGTACTACATGGAATATTTCCCCTTATCAGTGTGTGGTAACAGACAATAAACTTCACCCTTTAAGCTGCTCCTGAATGTCATAACACAGCCACCTATCTTACAAACTAGAACAAATGAATATGTATATTTCTCTCTCTTTTTTTATTTCCCATCTGCATGAAACATATGCCATGTACAGTGAATCCAAAAGATCAAAACAGGGTCTATAGTCCACATGCTAAAATTCGTAATAAAATATGCATGATAAAACCTTTCAGAGGAAATCACATTTCAAACCAGGAAAAAAGCCCTCCTTTTTAATGAGGGTTTAATTAATGTCAGATGGGCTCAGTTGGTAACATTTGTGCCTCTGGTGTAGAAGGTCATGGTTTGGAGCCCTACATTAGGCTCTGGGCTCATAACCAATGCTGACACTGCAATGTACTTCTGCTACACTGTTAGAGGTTCTGACCTTCAAATGAGGTGTTTAAACTAAGATTCCTCCTGCTAGTCTCTGGTGGTTCTTCCAGCTGGAAGCTAAAGATGTCCTGGCACTTTTTAAGCAGCACAGGGAATAGCCCTTGCATCCTAACTTACCCTTGCTGAATAAAGTAGGTTATAATATACAAAGCTGCGACTCTCAGCCATTACTGACAGTTGACAATACACACTAATGAGACAGCTCTGTTTATTTATGTGCCGACTCCACTAATCATACAGGAAAGACTCACTGCTTTGTCATAAAATGGTGAAGGACTTCTTCCGAGTGCTTAAAGAGGCAAAATATCGGGAAGACATGAAAATAATGTAAAAAGGGTTGATTTCCAAAATGAGAATGCCCTGTGTGTTTTCCAAGAAAGATGGTACCACTTAGAATAGGCTAATACTTTAGGCAAGGAGAGACAGAGGAGATGAGAAAATTGTGAGCCTTATGAAGTAGATGATAACAGGAGTTTCAAGAGTTCTTGCAAACTATAAGTTGCAGTAAAATCAAGACTGACCTTCAGGAGCAAAAGGGTTAAAAATATCAGGAAAATTATTCATGAAATAGCAGTTAGATTGGTATCTATCTATGGGATCCTGTTAATCAGCTGAGTCATCACAAAAGACATCACATGAACCCATCTGGAAATTAAGATCTTTATGATCTGTCTATTCAGACCATCACATATGATTTAGAACTAAATACCAGAACTGCTCCATTTCCAGCCTTGCCAATCCTCCTAGCCCCTGGCCTCCACCCCTCCTCCCACCACACACTATTTTAGAAGCAAAAAAGGTTCTGATTTCAGCTCGAAGGTAACTCTCTTACCTAAAGTAGAATTAAATTTGTACCTTAACGGAGAAGGAATAAATATGGTTCTTAAAAACAAAGTCTCTTCATGCAAAGTGTGAGACTAGAAAGAGATAAAAAGCAACAACATAGCCCAGAACTTCATCTCGGTATTTCCCATGTGCCCCCCCCACAAGAACTTTTGCTACACCCACTTGAAAATATTAAATACCTATGCTACTGGACATTCAAACCTAATATAGGCTTCCTAACATGAATCTTACTGTTTCTCGAGTACCCTGCTATCCCCCGAATGGCAGTCACAGCGGTGTGCTGTAGGACAAATAATCCTAGCAGAATACCTTTCAGAAACATCAAACTTTTTCTATTTACTCTAGCTTGGCTTTGGAGGAAAACAAAATGGATTACAAAATAAGCTCGTGTACACTGTGCCTCCTACAAAACAACTTGTTGAGAATAACTGAATATAGTGCAACAAGCCAAAGCTCTGATTATCTGGAATCTGGTTTATGTCTGGGTAAATAAAATACAATCAATTCACATATAGAAATTTAATTGAATTTATTTGTTAGACATCCTATCTCCTCCCTTGTGTTCACTCTGCTGGGCCTACTGCCACTTCAGCCAAAAATAATTGAAATGATGCCATCTACCTTTATGAAATTACATCTACGATATTTACAGAGGCTCACTTCATGAAGATGGACTTTTATTATTCTTCAGTGAATCATTTCTGGTCTTCAGGTAACAATTTTAATGTTAGAAAGGCCTGAAAAGTAATTTATGGCTCTGAAAATCAGAGAAACTTGAAAAGAACATATGTTTATAAAGAAGGTAAGCTATAGTCCTACGGAGCCCAGCTGAGCTTCCAGCCAGCCTCCCGTGGGGATTCAGTCACGGTGCTTTTGTATGGTTGTGGTATTCAAGACCCTGAGTAATGACAGTATTCTAACGACTTACTTGGCTTTTGTTATAATTTGTATATACTTTGTATGTATATACTTTGGCATTTGTATAATTCTAGGTATCGTTGGTCTTTTCTTGGTGCAGGAAAAAGGTTGTTTCCAACTATATTTCCTGTGATTTTATACACAATGTAATCTTGAATCAGCTTCTGAAAAGGTACGGGGTTCAAGCACAGACTTGTACTGCACGAATGACAAATGTAAATGTCCAGTTACAGAAGAAAAATTAATTCTTGACTATTTAAGCTAAACAGGATGAGTGCAAATGGCATTACTGCTATCAGAGAGGAAAATAAAAAGCAGGTTGGTAAAGCCACACACTGGCCCCCTGAGCAAGGTGTGCACTGAACAGCATGGGGCAGGATTTGGCCCCTGTAGATGAAATTGCTGACTAGCCAGCTAGCACGGGCATCTTGTGTGGGATTTATCACACCTAATATTATTAGTCTAATTTCAGCACGGCATCAAGTCTAAATTAGTTGTCTAAGCTCTCACTAAGTGAAGAGAGGATAGGGTTCTCCCCAAAACAGTCTTAAAATGAGGGGAATGAATCGTTCTACGCAGCTATCTATTTCTGCCACTCCAGAAGGAATTCCAAAAGGTGGATGAAGACCTTAATGACAAGTCTGAACACAGCACGTGTCCTTGGTCCCATACAAAAGAGATGCTGTTGAAGATAAGGCAGGAAATTATCAGTAGAAAATATTGTCCTTTCCTTGTACTCTTCACCTCATAATGAATTCAATGTAAAAATGAAAATTAAATACGGGAAACTGTAGGATCCTCAGATTTGGCCACTTGCCCCTTTCAACAGTGATTCTCGGACTAAAGCTGATGGAATCACTAGGGGCTCACAGATCTACTTTAATTCTTACACTGAAGTTGCTTTTAAGCAATGCCACATCCCGCTAAACTCCAGCCAGGGTTTCCCACGGCTTTTTAGACATCGTAGCTATAGCAACAGGAACCCAAACAACTCTGTTCGCTACATGACATGACTTTGTTGGGTGTTTCTTACAGTTGGAATTCAACTGTGATCAAATGTACAGGTGACAGCTCTGCTGAGGAGGTATAACACACACACAGCAGGACCTAATCAAGCTGCAAAGTAACCTGAAGAGATGAGAGCAGTGGGAGCTGTAGGAAACACAGATGAATTCAGGAGCAACGCCAGCCCCACACCACACAGTGAAGAAATCAATCGAACTGTCACAAAATGAAGATTAGAAATAGGAGTTTCTTCCTCCATCAAAGTGAGTAACATTAATCCTTTTTATTGTGTTCTTTTATGGAAATGTGCTCTAGCTCTTAATGTGGATAAATGCTGCACTTGTTACAAGGGACATATGGAAGTACAAAGTAGTATTTCTTTGGTGAAAATGTATAAATGGTTGAAGAATCTCTTCTTTGGTGACTTTTTGTGAAGGCCACCGTCCTCACCCTGCTGTCATGGCTCACTGGCACTACTTCCAGCAATGAACAAGGCAGCGTCTTGTGTTCATCTCTTGGGAAAAGATATTTATACAAGTATTGATTGAGCAGACTGAAGGGCAAGCAGACTGATAACTGGCTGCAGTAGCCAGACTGCTTTTATACTATGGCTTACAAGCATGACAGTGAAATCTTTTTTATTCCTTATCATCAGCTTTGTCAGTGCATTTTAAAGCAAAGTTACAAGATTTAGCATTTGATTGCCACAGTGTGTTTAACGTTATACACCAAAATAAAAATATATTTAAAAGCATTTAGAATAAACAAAACTGTAGACAAAATCTCAAGTTCCTTAATCATTCAACCACTCATTGGTATCCCTCTAACAAGCCTATAGTGGCTTTTGCTTAGAAATTCTTAAATGGAAGCTCATATTGCAGCTGAGCAATTCCTCCCAGGCTGTGGGAGCATGGCCAAAGGCTGAAGAAATTCCCCTCTGAAAGATGTAGTCATCCCTAGCTAGAACATTGGGCAAAAAAATGAAAGTGTTCCTTTTTCGAGAGCAGAAGATGCTGTTTTCTGAGGTTTCCACTTCAGGCTGTTTGTTTAGAATTGAATGGCCACACATCCAAACATCCAGGCCTGACCAGAAGTCTGAAAAAGAATTATTTCATTATTTGCCCATGGCTCTGAAGAAAAGTCAGACATACATCCTTGGAAATAGGAAAAAAAAAAAACAGAAAGCAGGTTTTATCTCCAGAAGGAAAGGAGAAGCACTACAGAAAAAAATCTTGTAACAGCATCATTTCTGAAGACAGATTCCCAGACGCAGGAGAATTATTTTAGCCACTTCTTGAGAGAAAAGAATGTATTTTCTCCCTATGTGTGTAGCAAAGAACCTTCTGGAAAAGTGCATGTGCTAGAGCTAGGCAGGTGATTCATACTCACAAAGACTACTACCAGAGATAAAGGCTGCAGCACTTGGGGGAGCTTTGGTAGTATGACAGTCTCTTGCTGTGAACCACACCTTTCAAAATATGGAAATAAGATTTTTATTGGTATTCAGCTACAGTGTGAGACAACAGGAGACGCAGGCTCACTCCACAAAGTCCCCACATTCCTTTTGCCTTGGCTGTTCTCATCATGCAAGGAGATCACAACCACAAAGATCCAGGATTAAATCCTAAATTATACTCATCATCCTCATCAAAATGACATTTTTTGGTTTTAATTTTAAAACTGCATTTTCAAGAAAAAATTTCAGTTTTAAAAAATTTAAATTATTTGGCTAACCTGACAACTGTTTTTAACTCATTTTTCCTTTCTTCTGTTCAGGGGAAACCTGAAAATTCAATTATTCATCTGGTTCTAGCTTTCAGAACAACAGTACCCAAGTAGCAAAAAAGCCCATTGCTCAGGAGCTTTAATTTGGAGTCTGGTGTCAGAACAGAGGCATACAAAAGTTCAAAAGATTTAGTCAAATTATGGTATTTCTTAAGTACTTTTTTAGAGATATGGATCCTGAACAGTAGGTAAAGAAGGGCTGCAGAACAGAGCAGCTGATATACTACAGAACATCCTCGAATACTTCTAGTCCTTCCTAAATTACAAATAAAGATATGCTAGTGTCTGACATCACCGTTGCATAAAAAAACTACTGACCAAATCTCAATGCATTCAATTACATAGCTTCAATATAATGTCTCAATATAGATTCCACAATACAATGGCATGAATCCACTCATTAAGTGTAAGCACTACCCACCCTGACTCAAATGAAGCAAAGAATACCAAATTGTTCATAATTGCAACATGAAATTCTTGTTATGTTGTGATTAATTTATTCTTCATTCATATTTGTAGCTAATGAAAATAACTTGTACTGGTGTGCAAGTTCACTCAGTTCCTCAAAAGTTCACCCCAGTGACGAACAGAACAGGTATGGCCCACGTCCCTATTTTCTAAACTGTCCTGGAGATGAGTTTTAATTTGCCATAAATACTTTATGCTGCATCCTTTACTACTCTATTATTCATTTTCTAGCAAAATGTGAGGCAAGTCATCTCAATATGGGAAAAGAGTGTGTATGGATATTAGCAAGGATTTTTTTCCTTTTCTAATCAGCCTTCAGGGTTTTCTGGAAAGCAGGAAAGACTGCTGTTACTGAGAGAGAGTGGCAAGATCTCCAAGAAGTGTAGGAATTATTTTTCCTCTATTGGGAAACACTTCAAGATTTTTTAATTTTGCCAATCCAGATAAGAATTGAAAGTCATAATGTGAATTATATAGGAAAATAAGTTCTCTTTCAGCCCTGTGAAACATTTCATTTAAATTTCAAATATTGTTAAAGTTCCATCAATAAAAATTTCAAAAAGAGTCTTAATTTCACACTAAAAAAACGCAAAACCTATTCATTTTCAAAAGTATTCTGTATTAACAGTTTTGGGTTTCTTCTCAAATCCTTGCCATAGAAACAACCATGCTCCAATAAACTGCCACTTCAAAAACTTCCCATCATGCTAAATTTTTGTCATACTGTGAAATAGGTGATTTGTTAATACCAATTGTTCCTTAAAGTACTCCAGGCTCATCAACAATTTGAACCTCTCAATCTATTCTGCCTCAAGTAATTTAACACTTCAATCTTTAGGCAGCGCACAGCGGAACAGTACTTTCTGGTGAACACACCCCTGGGCAAGAAAGTGATCCACTTTCTCCAGGAGGAAGTTCTTGATTTAATATTAATTCATCCTGACAAAAAGCACATTATACCTAGCCCAAAGCACACTGAAGTTATTTAGAATTTTTTTCTATCTGATTATTGGGATTGAAATGGACTTCCTGAAAAAACAGAATAAAATAAAATAAAATAAAATAAAATAAAATAAAATAAAATAAAATAAAATAAAATAAAATAAAATAAAATAAAATAAAATAAAATAAAATAAAATAAAATAAAATAAAAACCTGATGTTTCCTAACAAATAAGTAACCTTCAGAGATGGGGTTCAGACAATTTATTACAGTTTAGATCTTATGAAGCACCCTCAAATCTCCTGGTCTTTTTCCTGTCCTGCTCGGATCTTTCTCCTTCCCCCCATTCTGAAAAATATGTGTAAACAACCTTGCCTACCCTCAGCGGTGTATCACAGAGTCCATCCTTTCAGCCAGTCTGCAAATCTGCCAATCTCTGCCATGCTGCCTTTGGAGGCAGCTAGGAAATAAATAGATAATAACAACAACATCAAAAAATTGAGTCCAAGATCCTGCTCCAGTCCTAGTGAAATTTGTTCCTGTTGAGCTAAGGGTGCAGGTCTGCTGTATGATCTTTTGCAGAATAACTGACAAGAACAAAGCCCACAATTATTAACCTTTCCACTTGTTCCCATAGTTTATTGTGACAAGACAATGCAATAAGCTTGAAGGTAATCAAAAAGCAATTTTGTAGTAGTGAGCTTAAAATGACAAACCTTTCCTTTTCTAAATAAATCACCATTATTCCCACATGGTCCGTGCTTGACAAGTTTGTTTCCTTAGTAACAGAGTACTTAAACAGGGTTTGTGTGCACAGATTATACCTTTAGCCACAGAAGTGAAAGAGGAGACAATAGGACAAAAAGTGGTCCACCCACCTAAGGCTGTGATTTAAATATTTATCAGCTGGGTAATGACAGAAGACAAGGATGTGCAGAAGCCCAGGTATGCCTATTCTCTCCATGCATTTTGTGTGCTTAGTGGAGTCTATGGACTCGGAGGGGTTTTCAGACTACAGTGCCTAAACTGAATTTAACACTCCCTGATGTTTGTTCAATAGCTCACCTAATGTTGAGGTCAGCTGTCTTATAAATTATTGAGCAGATTAACAGTGTTAGGACTACAAGATAAATAAAGGGTATGCACCAGACAAAGAAGACATACAGCGTGTCTGGCTCAAAGACAAAAGAGTGAACAGACAGAAGGAAAGATTAATACGCTGTGGATACATTTAAGAGCTTTCTGTTTTGTTTCGTCAGTAATTAAATGACTGATTGCTTTGTAATAGTAAATGTGTTTGACTGGATACACAAAACCTGATGTTAGGCGGTACTGAGCTCAGTCCACTGTTGGAGAAAATCCTTCAGCCCACTCTGCCTGTCGATGCCTAATAAATTCCTAGTTCTCTTCCATCAAATGTAGACAGGTCAAGTAAACACTGAATGGGCAGGCCTTTGAAAAATTTAGCTTGCTCTGTAATTAAACAAGGACAGCTTTTCTAGCAAGAAGTTAAGTTGGTGCAAAGCAGATTGATTTTAAGTCTTTCAGCATTTTTTTTAATATATTTTCCCCCTTGTCAGCTGATGGGTTTCAAATTCCCTTTGATGAGCAAATGCCATAAAAGGCTCTACACAGGCAGCATGTTGATAACTTTAAATCAGATATTATGTACCCTATCATTTTTACAGTCCTAGATTCAGCTACCAGCCACTGATATATAAAAAACACTGAGCCAATGTCTATATAAAAAAATCCCCTGTGTATCCAAAACACAATGCCCACTTCCCTGACCTGACCATTTCAGCAGCTGTCCTGAAGAACCAAATCACAGTAGTTTGTCAAGTGCCAAGTAACTTAATGTGTTGGAAGACAAATAAAAGAAAATGGCATCTTTCTACTTCTTGCATCAACATCAACACTTGAAAGGCAGTGTTTCTTGCTAAATGTAACAGAGGCTAAGACTGTTTCTGCAAAGAAATTATCTGAATGAGTTTAAGCCCAGATTCAAAACTTAATTTCAAATAAAGCTGTTGAGACTGTAATGGTGATGAATTATATCTGTTGTTTACCAGTAAATTTTCTCAGCATATGTAAAGAGATGTTTATAAATGAATATTAAACTTGTGATTTATAAAAAAGTAAGGCAGTATACATTCTAGCACACATAGCTTATTTTAAATTTCAATCAAAAGCAACAGACTCCAACATTCATTATGATTTGAAGTATTATTCATCAACACTTCTAAATTACCAGGACGAATAGAAGTACTCACCCATTTCCTTACAGTTTCCAGCAGCCATACAGCTCGCTCACAGGTTTGAACATGCTCCTCAAGGTTACAAAGTATGTTGCTACTATCAGAAATATTGCAAAACGCTACTGGCCAAGAGACGACAAGATGGGTGATCTGTTGAAGGTCACCCGATAGCTTATTGTAATGAATGAGGGGATGAATATTGATAGTTATGTTACTTTTGAGGAGAGATTTCTTCTCTTCATCAAAGTCATCTGAAGTATAGAAACGGGAAAGATTTATGCAATTCACTTCTGTTCAACCAGGAGTTTTCTCAAAGTGGCCCAGAAAACAAGGCTCACGTGCCGAACTGTAAGAGCTCCAGATGAAATCTGAAGAGCTTGTCGTTTCATTAGTTACTGGGAATTACCAAGCACAGTTGAGACAAACCACTTTACTTTGTTTGTTATTGGCTTTCAGACTGTGACCACAACAACTGTGAGTCATTATCAGAGATACCAGTAGCTAGGAATGTTAGTCCCACAATCAAAAAGCTCTTTTCATACGCCTCCTGCCTCCTGAGCACCCACTCTCCCTCTTGCATCTTTTAGTGTAAACAACATTCAATATTGAGATGTAGGATGAAGATCAATATGGAGTTTTGCTAGTAAAACAATTTACCTCCGTGCATGGGAAATAATGAGCCCTGTTCCTTTAACGCTGGAAATTAGACTGTCTTTTTTTAAATGTACTGAAATATAAAACTTGCTAAATCTAAATTACCGGCTTAATAACATCTTTGCCCAAACATTCTTGGATGAAATATCAATTTGGAAGAGGCGCCAGATTAGATTCATCAGAAAACATGTTGCAGAGTAATTTAGAAAATATTAAAATGTCAACTTCTCTCCAATCCTCCCTCTGAAATGCAAGAGAGGATATTGTTCAGCTCAATAATTCTATAGTGTTGTTTTCTTTTCCCCTCCCCCACATTATGTTCTCTTCTAATTGTCTCCTGCTACAGGAGAGGAGCAGAATGATCCATTATTAAATGTTTTTGCCAAGTGCTTTGTCTTTACCCTCTCTGATCAGGAGTGAAATTTTCCTCCCCAAGTGCAACTTCCATCTTCCCAAACCAGGTACAGAGATTAAATTCTGTTATTCTACACACTCAGTGAGAACCTAGCAAAATGAAAAATGGTTACACAATTTTAAGAAATAACACTTTGATCTTTCATCTGTGACAACTCAATGTCTATCAAGTCTTTCAGTAAGAAAAGATTCTGCATTACAGGACTGAAGTGAATGGATATATTTGCAAAAAAAAAAAAGCAACTGTTTGCACCAATTTTAAGAGCTGCAGTACAGATTTATGCATTCCCTATTGGCAATTTGCATTAGCAATAATCAGATGAAAATGCACGAGCCTGCAAGAATGACATTTCCTTCTGCACTTAAGAAATCAAGTGTGCAAAGCTATTTACTAATATTTTTTAAAGATTTTTTTTTTAATCTCATCTATGACAGTCAAAGGTACCCGCAAACTACAAACTTAACCTGTGGTTTAGAATGCTTTTCCATTAACAGCTAGCAAGTTTATACTGTCACTGTATTATTCTATTACTGTCATTAAACTGTTTTTATCTCAACCCGCGAGTCTCCCTTTGCCCCTCCGATTCCCTCCCCATTCCCAAGTGGGGGGAGGGTGGGTGAGCAGCTGCGTGGCGTTTAGCTGCTGACCAGGCTCAAACCACGACAGATGCCAAGAGGTCTGTGCTGAAAACCACTCGCACAGAAGGAAGAGTTAGCATCCGTATTCGGACCTTTGAACGCTCAGTTACCAAGCAGCAACTTCACCATCCCGTGCTGGGTTTTGTAGGGTCCTGTGGTAGGAGCCTGTCCCTCTCCAGTCAGCAGGGCATAAACTGCTTATGACAGGTATCACTCAAAGACAGAAAAACTACTAAGGAGCATTCCCTTAGCTTGCTGCCCAGAGAGAGGATAACAACTTGAAGCTTGGGTGCCCTGCTCCAGCGCTCAGACCACAGTCAAAGTCTTCTGTTTACCCACAGAGACATCTGAGATTTTCTGTGAAGTTGTGCTTTAGATCTCAGCCATCATAACTGTACTTCACAAGAAATGAGATCTGTGACAGGAACTTATAGATGGATCAGTGGCACCAGGCTATTAATTACCTACTGTCTGTAAGTCTCTTTGAAATGCAATGTGCAAGCTCTAAGCATTATTAATAAATTCTCAGTCACCACACTGATGTGCAGTTCAAATGGTTAGAATAAACTGTTATTCTAGTCATTATTTAAATCACTAGAATAAACTGTAAAATCCTAGAAAAACATCACTGAGTGAGTGTCTGGCTGGAATCTAATATCTTTTACAATTCAAAATAAAGTCCTGATAATATATTCTAAATGCAACTGATATGCTAGTGTCTATCTGAATTTGCAGATACCTTGGGACAATAATTCTGAGACGTGAATACCCATGGCTTCAAAACTTGTTACTTTGAAGGTTCATCAAGAGGACTGGCATACACATGGGAGAGCACACTGACACCAGTGCAGCCAGCCCAACCCGCCTGGACAATTTTCAGCTAGCGGGGTAAGTCCTGGGTCTCTCTGCTGCTCCTGAAGTCAGCTCAGTGAGCCTGAACTAGAGAAGGATGCTGCAATGCTGCCTCTGTTAGGGAGTACTGCAGCAAGGAAGAATCAGAAACTCAGGAGGGCAGAATCACTGCAGAGACCTATATTCTGTAGAGTCCCTGATGCCCTGAATTGCTTTAGTAATCACTTCAGGCCCAACTGCTTTTAGTGAGTGCTTCACCCTTCTGTGCCAGCATTTCTTATGCAGATATACAATTTTAGATTAATTTCTTGATTAGAAGCTCATAGTTATCCAAGTCCTTTGCTCATCAGTAGTGTGACATTCACAATCTGCCAACACACCACTCTGGGAGATTAAGCAGAATAGATTTTAAATGGTACGTTATTGACATTTCAATTATTTAAGCTTTGGTAGAAAGTGACCAGATGAGGTTTAGATTATATGATCCGTCTCACAAAAAAGTTCTGCCAGAAAGGAGCAGATGAAGAGAAAGGGTAAGGGGCAGCTCAGATGACTATAGATCATAGCTGAGGAGAAGAGGCAGACAAGTTGGATAGATTCACTAGGGGGATAGATCCAGAAGTGCTTTATAAAATAGTCGAAGTGATACAAATGCTTTTTCAAAATACCTCAGGAAGAAAAATACCTCAAGAAAGAAGCATGAAGCAAAAGGGCATTAGCAGCAAGCATGAAATGAAAGGGTGTTATCAGCCCAAAAACTATCAGTATAAATCAGATACCAGCAAAATTAGGATGCTAGTTAGGTGGTTTCTAATCATGAGAAGACCAAGATTCTGGAAGACTTCCAGGGGAGGCAAAACAACCTATTGGTGAATGGGATTACAGCACATCCTTGGCAAAGGCAGCAACAGGCAGGACCTGGGGACTCAGGAAATCTTTCCTAGTCATGTTTTCTCAAGGAACATGGAGGAGCACTCCATTAAAACAAATCATCATATTACTATTACAAAAGCGTAAAAATGTAAGTGATGTAAAAGCCTAAGATTCCTGCTCCTAGAAATTAACAGAGGATATCTCAGGGTTACACAATGTTCTGTGTGACAGTACCTGAATCCTGGATGGAAGGATCTGACCACAAAATGTCAAAACCACTGAAACTCTGTCATTATATGAACCTCTCACACAACAGTCTGCCTCAGTTTGCTTAAATCCATGTTGAAAATGTTCTGTGTTGCAGAAGATCAAAACAGTCAGCCAGCAACATTTGTATTCTTATTAATACTTACATGTTCACAATAGCCAGACAGACTCACGTGTATCCTCTAAACAGGAATAAAATATATGAGGTTTTTGATTTTCATCACGAGGGTAATCTTTACATTTCCAAATAAGTACAGAGACACTGAACCTCCTGATAATGACTGCAGACTACAGAAGAAACAGTCAAGTATTCAGTTTTTTTTGTATTAATAATTATAATAATTAAAACTGTCACTGGTAAGCACTGAAAACAGGATGGCCAAATTGTTCAGACATGGATGTCTTAATCCAGACATCTAAATTCAAATCCAGCCAGATAAACAGGGGACTCTTTTTTTTTTAGCTGAGCATCTCTGGCATCTAAGGGGCTGATCTACTCAAGAACTTTGATAATCACCTCATTTATGAACAACTGCAAAACCACTTATCTTTTCAAGAAAACACTTCAGCACATGCTTAAGTGCTGATGTAAACTGGAACATTATTTGGGAAATTAAGCAAAGTTAGGTGCCTAATTTAAGTGTACAAGTTAAAACACTTTGACATAAATCATGCATTTCTGTAGAGATACTCTCTCTCACATAAACAACTAATCAGACATTTTTCTTACACTATAAAACTTCTAGCCAAAGTGTGAAGATTAGGATATTCTTCTCAAATTTAGAGAATATCTGACGCACATTCACTGCCAGATTACGAAGAATGCTCTGTCAAGAAAAAGAGAAAGATCTTCCAAATTTTATTCCTGAAAAAAAAGTTTGTCATGCTACCTGAAGCCATGAACAGAAAACAGTAAATATAGTGAAGCATTAACACCCATCAAGCAGCATGTTTATAGGCAACTGTCTGCTTCACACACCTTGAATTGTATAATGAGACCAAGTGAGTTTTACTACCTACAAAGTAATCATTCTCAAATGAGCTGTCTGGAAAGTATTACTGTTTTTATGAAATGAAATTTATATGTAAAAATAACAAAACAAACTTGAGTATTAAGTAGGTCCTTATTGACATGACTGGAAACAATGGAAGCCGACCAGAAATTGCCTGTCTGATTTCTCACAAAAGAGAGTGGGCTCTAGGAAACCCTCTTCTACAGACCCTGAAACAAAATCTTTTTCACTCTTCTACAGACCCTGAGATTTTTTTTTTTTTTTAATTTGAACCTTCTTTGACTCATCACTCTTAGGGCACCATGAAGTTTCTACTAGTAGCTTATTGCAAACTTGTCCCTACATCAAAATTAGTAAATTACTCTTTGGTCTCAGCTCAAACTGAATTCTTAGAAGCCTTAAAACAGGGTTCATAAAGCAGACACTGAATTGATTGCCAACTAGAACGGCTCGGTCTCAAAAGAGTACAGAAAGCTCACCTAATAACCCCATCTGCAGAGCCAGAAGCAGGACACAGACAGCAACTCAACACCAATCCAAAAATGGCAGCATTACAGGATAATGAAAGACTGTAAAATAGGCATCAGGCATGAATATAAGACAGATTTTGGCCACAGGACCAGACATTAATTTTACAGTTTTCTCCAGGAGGACTGTGATGCAGCAGTGAATAAGTGACGGGGTCTGCGTGTGACAAACCAGCAGCTCAGATGTTGAAACCACTCTTCTCCTCCCGCTTTTCCCTCGGTCTTTCTCTCCGGGGGCTCAGCCAGTTCACTGTTCAACCAGTTGGCTCAACAAAACTGACCTCCTTTACATTTTGTGGGGAGCCACAGATTTCTGGGCACAAAGATTTTCAAAGGTAGTAAAAAAACGCCCAACATCAGTGCTCACTGTAAAGATGGATGGTTGCAGCTCTGAGAGGAAGTAACGAATCTGGGTAAGCGACATATCCCTTCTGATCCACGAGCAAAGAGGCTTTCCAGACCTCGGTCCTTCAACTCTAACACTAGTCCCTCTCCCATGAGACTCTGGAAGAAGATCTCTTGGCTTGCACTGCTGGAAAAAGACACTGCTAGGTTTACTCTAATGTAACAGAACGCCCAGACACAGATAACCATGAAATCATTAACCAGTGGTTAATTACGGTGTAAAAAAGGTAATTTCCTGCAAAATCTTCCCTTTGTAAATGCAAAGAAATAAAATCTTACATTGGACTGGATAATAGAGGTCAGATTCCATCTCTTCTTTGGTGGGTACATTCCAGAGAGCATAACTAAGAAGGGCAACTCTACATGTAGAGAAACAGGCTAGCAGATATGAAGAAGTGGGTAAATAATGACATTTTGCCCCACATGTGGCACTCTGCACAATTCCAGATTTTCTTTACAGGAACAGAAAAGGAGGAACCTGAGTGTTTTGTGAATTGGGCCAGCTGTCATATGTAAAGATCTCATGCAAGCAGCCCTGAGGATTTGTTTTCCTAAACAAACTTGTAATCATCTGTCTTTTTAAATATAACTTCTGTGACATGCAGAGGAAAATCAGAAAGTGATGCTGAAAGCTTTCCATGCTCTATTAATTTTGTTATGTAAATCCACTCCCCAATTGATATTTTCATTCAAAACTAGCACAAGATCCGTCATTATTCCTCGATGTAAAGGGAAGCAAAACAAGTAGTATTCAAGCGAGTACTCTCATTTGGATTATTATTTTAATACAGCAGTATTGTCTGTAGGTAGTTTTTAAAGCATGTTTGCATAGCAATTCTAGGCTGTTCCTTCCCAGAGGCTGTTTAGCTTTGTCAATATTTATTACTATTGCTTTTGTAAGTACAACAGAAAGCAGAAATGTTTGACTTTAACCTAATAAGCAGATTTTGAGAAATGGACAACAAAATCACTTTTCTGCTTTTTGAGTTATCTGTCTCCATACCTAATAATACAGCAACAAAGGGAAAGCAAAACTCACAAAGACTGAAAACCCATGGAAATACGTGCAAAGCATCCTCAATGTTTTAACATCAGTTCTACTGCCATAGATAGTATTAAATAGTTGGTTAAAAACTGCTTTAAGGAAATTAACGTTACACACACTCACGTAGTCCTATGGACATACAGAAAAAATGTACATATTTAATTTAACTTCTACGCTCCTTAAATACTTGAAGTGTTCCACAGCAGCATGGTCTATGAATTGTACTTGGTCTAAAGGCCAAACACAGGGTTTGACTCTACTGTGAATGCTGTAGCTCAGTTACTCAGACCTAAATGAACATATGAGAGAATTTAATGGGAACAGCCAATAAATCAAAGCAACAGAAACTCTTTTTCCCTACCAAAACCTATTAGTCATGTTTTCTCCAAAATGTTATCAAATTATGATTTATAATACAGAAGAACCTAGCATTTTCAGGTAAAATTGTTGACTGAACACTCCAAATACATAGTAAGAATTAATCCCCAAAGTAAAGAACTTCCAAACAAAGAAGACAACAGTGGGGAAACCAAAGCAACATAAAGGTGAAGTGATTTGCTTTATCCAGGAATAGACCCACGCACCAGTTGAGTGTCCTGTTTGTGACAACTTGAGGAATCTAAGGACAACTTCTGAATCACATTTGACAATCACAGATTTATTGAACCATGGTATGCCACTATGTACAGGTTTACCACTTCCTAGTGGAATTTACCACTACCTGGAAGAGACCATATCATATATCTGCCAGACTGCCAGGGCTCTGAGGGCACTGAAATCCTTAATGGCCCTGGACAGCCTCACCTGGGGCTTCCACCCACAACCACGAGACCACAAACTCTGCTGAAACTCCTTCCTGTGGTGTGTTGAAGGAGCACTGGTTTCCAATGTAACTGCAGCTGGGCCTGTTCAGTGCTCCTTGATCCAGACATCAACCTGCAGACTAACTTCTTGGCTTGACTTTGGCCCTGCCTCATCAATATGAGCCCATGTAGTAAGTGCTGATCCTGACCTAGAGGTTGACTTCCTGGACTGATCTCTGACCTGTCTTGTCACCATGATGTCTCATGATCTGGACTCCTAATTGGACCTGCCCACCACCTTTTTGCTTCTGTCCTATTTGCCTGACATAGGTGCTGTGGGATGTGGCTCTGGCTGGTGAAGCCCCTGCTCTGCTGGTTGTTACTGCTCTTGGTTCCCCATCCCTCAGGGAGCTGTTGGCTTTTGGTGTTCCCTGACAGAGAGGGTAAAGATGTTGTAATAAAGAATTAATGAAGAAATTAATGATATATCTTTAAGTGGAAGCATTTTCTGATAACAGATTGGTTGAAAATAAGACAAGAGGGTTTCATTAATATCTCCATAGGTAAGAGGAGTTTGGAAAATGGAAAACTTCAACTCCAGAACCACGCAAACAAAATACACTGCCTGCAATATTGGCATTGCCATTTAGAAACCTTATAGGACAGGTATTCAGAGCTGCTGAACCAAAGAGGAGGTGTTTGAGGCCAAATCTGAGAAACTTCCTATTGTATGTGGGAAAGAAAAAGTTGTTTCCCTGTAGAACCTGTCAAGGCTGAATCAAACTGATCAGGATAAAAAAAAGAGCTAGGATTCAGAAAAAGTCAAAAGCCTGCATCCAGCTTGACATTCACACTCTTGACATGGTCGTTCATTTTTCAAGGTCCATTACACATTTTCTGACACTGAACAAAATTCCAGTTGGGGGTGGAGGAAGAGTTTTTGAAAAACCGTATGCAAAAGCATATGTCTCCATCTGACACTGGCGAACTCAACACTATCATATTTTTCACAGTTGTGTTTTCAGCCTGTTTTGAGTAGGGCTTAGTTGCTCATAGTTGCATTTTGCTTATCCTTAAATGCTATGAGCATGTTTTGGGTGTCTGGATTTTATGGCTCAATTATTTTACTATGGAACATCTACAACAGTGTCCATGTTTTACCAAAGGAAAAAGGCAAGTAAATTTTCCAATTATCAAGGCAATATAGCACTTGGTGTATATCATTATGAAGCTGTTAATAAAAATGCTATATTTTCATTAGCTAAAAGGCTATTTATCCCTAATGAGTTGTTGAAAACTAAGGGCAAAATTCTGCTTTCATTTACACCAGCATAAATCTGTAATTCATTTGAGTGCCTCTGGATTTATATTGGTGTCAGTGAAAGCAGAATTTGGTCTGAATGCTCTTGGATTTGACTTTGTCATCTGTTTCAACTTTAAGTAAGTCATTATTCACCAGTAAGGACCAATCAATAATAGTAATACTGGGGGGAAGGAGAAATCAAAGGGAGTTCTTTTTTGCCCCCCTATGGATTCTTTAGAACACAATGAATCCATTGAAATACAAACTGTAGCCTAAAATGTGTAAAGCAATAACATATTTCAAGACTGCTCTGCAGCCTAGATGCTGATGCACACCTACATCTGAATGACAAACAGAAATTGAAGACGGCCAATTTCTAGGGCTTCCCTTTTAAAATAAGAGTAACTGGTAAGCAGGCAGTTGACCAACAGCAGGAATGTCGGGACCAGTAAGAGCCTTCTGAACTGTAGCCTACCTCAGCAAAACACCTTTGGCACAATATTCAGTGTTATTAAACATTTGAGAGAATTTCTGAAATGTGGCCTTTAAATTGGAGAAAACTTATATTTGGTGAGAGTTTGCCACTGGCTTCAGTGACATGGGAATCTTACCTAACAAGATTTATACTGAACTGAATGTACATGATAGATTTATACAATACAGCAAATTACAGGTGTATAACAGCCTTACAGGCCATAACATGTCCATTAAAGTCAAATATGCTATAACGATGACGTTTATATGACTAATAGACTTAAATATTTCAAGTGTCAAGATTTTGAAAAATGAAAATAGACGATAAATTTGAAGTGCAAATGTACAACAACAGCAGAGAAGCTGTATAAATTATCTGAAATTAATTAATATGCTACCTTGTGTACGGGAACCTAACTTTGCTAGGGGCTGGCTACAGAAACGTTCACAACAAAGTATTTATTGATAGCTAATTATACCATTCCATATTGGGTATGGACTAGTGATCTTCACAGCAAACATTCTGCGTTTATTTTTCACCAAATTTCTTTATGTTGCTTCATAACTGTAGCATATTGTACCTGATTACACAAAGGCTACATCTGGTCCCATAGATGAATTAATACACCTGACTGGTACATGACCTTCCATAGCTATTAGTGACACTTCTATATCCTGTGTTTTGACTGCAACTCTTGAAAATATTTGGAGTAATAGCTAAGCTTCTAGGGCTTTTCTTACTAAGATTCTGGGACTTTTCTTACTACGATTCTAGGGCATTCCTTACTGATGCAATAAATTTCTCCCTAATTTAGCATTACATAAAACCAATAAAGGTACTCCAGCCTTTATAGCTGCAAAGGTAACACCTGTGAAAACACAACAGTTAATATTAAGGACTCTAATAACAGAAATGGGCATGAGCTGTGAAACTGATCACAATGTAATGTTTTCATGAAGCTCAACAATTAGATTTCATAGGTCAAATTACTCAAGAGAAGCTGCAATGGCCAAGATTTTCAAAATCTTTAAGATCAGTTTTCTTATGGTGTGAACACTATACTTCACAAGAACATTTGTTAGGAAGTCTGTTGACTCTACAGACTACTTAAGCCAAGGATATCTGACCACTCTAGGATACTAGGTTGCATTTTTGGTCATCAGTGACTCTTGCAGAGGGCATCATACCCTTTCCTCTCCCAGCCTGACCTCCTTTCAGCTAACCTAATAGGTCTGTTCTTTCTATGAAGTTTTGGAGGTAAAGATAATTCTGTTTGCTATACTGTATTCTTGTACATAACAGTAGTAAGTGTCACCAGAAAGTATCAAGTTCTTGATTGCCCCAGTTTTTAAAAAACAGCAGATTATTGCTAATACACATTTTTTCTATCTTCCATGATTGATTCAGCTATTCCTTTTATCTACTTTCATCTATGAAAGTATTTGCCATCAGTAAACAAATAATATAAACATAATTAAATACAAAAGAGAAGGGAGATGCCTTACATAGTATATTACCCTGGAAAATATTATGATAAGCATGAATAAAACAATGTTTACTGTAAAAGAAGTAGAAACATGCAGCTATACAAACACTTCTCAGTGATAGTCAAAGTGTGATTTCTCACTCTCCTCTTCTTTACTTAGTTGAATTCAACTCTATAATCCTATAAGCCACTAAACCCTGGAGAGTATAAAAAAAAAAGTAGAG